TATGTGTTTTTAAGAAGATAATGTATGAGAATATTTTGAATTTTATTTTTCAAAGGTGTAGCAGCAGATTCAAACATCATTGCAAGATGAAATAACTTTTTTGGGGGTTCAAATTAGGGAGAGAGGGCAGGATTTTATGACATCCTTTTCAAGGAAGTATAGAGAAAAAGGACAACGGGTGACAGATGGGGAGGGGGTCTAAAAATGGCCAATAAATAAACACATCCTTTATGGATAGCCCCAAAACTTTTTGTTTATTACTATTGTAATAAATACAATCTCTTACTCGTGAAAATTATATATCTGTACCAGTTTTATATATTTTAATGCATTTGTATTCAACATAATAAAAATTAATAAAAAAATGTAAGATAAGGGGCTGTTCAAATAATACGTGACTTTTTTGTCTTTTTTATAATCCCCCTTCCCTATTTGACATTTTGAGAGCACCCCCTTCCCCTGCCTCTCACTGTGTGACGTGACAAAGACAAGAAAAACTTTTTTATAAGTGTATATTTTAATTGTAACAATTAAAAAAAAAATTGATTTGTAAAGTTTTTCCTTTTCACTAGACATTTTTAATCTATAACAACAACAAAAACAACAACAAGAAATTTATTTCCCTTTTTGACCATCACGTTAAATAAGTATATGGTAAAGATAGTATTAATAGTAGCATTAATAAAAGTACTGCTTTTACTAAAATTTTATATCATAGTAGCTAAATAACTTAATACATAATAAAAATAACAATGTAACAAAAGTAATTTGACAAATTCATTATAATAGAGTGACACAAACCATTAAAAGTAACAATAACAGTAACATTAAAAATAAAACTAAATTAATTATTGATCAGATGGCGATCAAGAATAATATTGACTATGTATTATATTTGAAGATATAATTTTAAGCAACTATTAATACTAAAATTTTAGTATATTTATACAAATATAATATTCGTTAAAAAAATAAAATAAGATTTTTAATGGTTGTATACATTGCTTTTAAATAATCGCCCACTATCTGGTTTTCTATGTTTGTAAGATCAAAATTTCTTTTTATGCCTGCGATTACTACAAGAAATTTCAAATTTAGATAAATCTCTTCCTATCATTTAAGGTGAAAGTGATGCTTTTTGTAAACTTGAGTGTTGGTGTGGAAAACTGTCTGTAGGTAAAACAAAACTCAAGGTTTCAACTCGCATTTGTCAACACCAAAAACATACTTTTGAGGATAAATGGAAAAATTCGGCTGTGGCGGGGCATTCCAGAATGGTGCCTTTGGATGGAATAAAAACAACATTGTTAAAGTAGAGGTAGACTGTTTTAAGAGAAAAGTAAGAGAGTGTTTGGAAATTCAGTATCACCATTGTTTTCCAAATGAAGAAGGTTTGAATGAAGACGACGGTGATTACGTCATATCGTTGTTTCGGAAACCTTATTTTTCTTATTTAAAACGCAACAACACATTAAATTGAAGTTTTATTATTTGTTTGTTTTTTTTAACAGTTTTTTTATATTACTTGAATAATGAGGGTATATAGAACCCCTAGAAATATTGTATTTTAATCTAAAGAATTTTATAAGGATAAGTTTACATACTAAAACAGATGTTTTAACTTAATTAAGTTATATAAAAACTTATCTTAGATGTTAACTTTACAAAATTAAGGTGAACGTGTAAAAAAAACTAATTTAAATTTCCAATTTTCATTAGTTATGATTTCGTTAAATAATAAACGCTAGCTACTTGTGAAGTTGTTGCATATCATTTTTTTTTGAAAATTTTCGTATAATATATGGGACCGCGCGGTAGAAAAGTGACCAGATAGGGGGAATAAGTTATTTATACCACAGAAACAAGCTAATTAAACTAAACAAAATGACACTAAGATCTTTAAAATAGCTTAACTAAATCCAAACGTGGTCCTCGACAACTTATTGAGAAGTCTGTTTTACTAAGGGATGTTGTAGGTATGAGAAAATTGCCAAAGGAATATCTTGTAGAGTATTTGTGATTAATTAAGGTGAAATGAGGCTGAAAATATGTTGGAAGCATGTTGTTATAAATTTTAAACATAAATAACAGATTTTGATAGATGTTTAGTTTATAAATATTTAAAACATTAATTTTTTTAAGTAAAGGCTCGGCGCATGCATATCTACCTGCATTAAAAATTAACCGGCTCGCTTGTTTTTGTTTGGTATTAATTTTTTTTAAAGAGGATGAATAATTACTTGCCCACGCTATGTTGCAATAACTAATGTGACTATGAATAAATAAAAAATACAAGCTTTTTAAGCACATTATATTCAAAAGG